ACATGGACAAAACTAAGATCATGTTTAATGTCCATGTCACACCTATGCCGATAGTTGTTGGGAACACTAAGCTCGAAGTTGTTGACGAGTATGTTTACCTGGGACAAATAGTCCGACTGGGTAAGTCCAACTTCGACCGAGAGGTCAATCGACGGATTCAACTCGGCTGGGCAGCGTTCGGGAAGCTACGACACATCTTCTCGTCAGACATGCCTCAAAACCTTAAAACGAAATTGTACAACCAGTGCGTGTTGCCAGTGATGACTTACGGAACTGAGACGTGGTCCTTCACTGCTGGCCGTATGAGGAAGCTCAAGGTCGCTCAGCGAGCTATGGAGAGGGCTATGCTCGGAGTTTCTCTGCGTGATAAACTTAGGAATGAGGATATCCGCAGTAGAACCAGAGTGACCGACATAGCCCAACGGATTAGTAAGCTGAAGTGGCAATGGGCCGGCCATATAGCTCGAAGAACCGACAACCGATGGGGAAGAAAGGTTCTCGAGTGGCAGCCTCGTACCGGTAGGCGAAATGTAGGGCGTCCCCCCACGAGATGGAGTGACGACCTGGTAAGACATGCAGGAGGTCGATGGATGCAGGTGGCTCAGGACCGTGTTTTGTGGCATTCTTTGGGGGAGGCCTATGTTCAGCAGTGGACTTGTGAAGGGCTGTAATGATGAATGAATTAGACATAATTCAGCATTAATTACACTAGGCTGTGTCTCTCTCACATATCTACTACTTAATATTAATTATTATTAATATACCTCCCCCATATTTGCCATATTTGCCCGCTTGGCAGGCGGGTTGGTGGTTTTTTATAATTTTCAGTTGTTATTAAGAAGATTCTGCTATCCATCTCCTGTTTAATTTCCTTCTATCGCTTCTTACGACACCCACGAAATGACACAGCGTTGTGGATTCTCTTACGCCGCCGCTACACCGCGGCACACAAATTAATTATACCTATAAAATACTATGATAATTGATCGCTCATTAAAAACCACAGGTGAACGTTAACAATAAACCAATAGGAGGCACGTGCGCCAGTATACAACAGGTGACATTCATGATTTATCGGAAAGTCAGATTATTTAAAATCTAACCGACCTCCGGTTACATTTTAAATTAGAGATCTTATAAGGATTATAATAGATATTTAGGTAATTAGGGCGATTCAGGTGGATTTGAATAAGGGGTAAATTAATTTAAAAGACAAAAATGCGCATAATGAGCTTCCTTAGATTTTTTTTTACTTATGTAAATTATATTTTTAAGGTTAAATTATAACTTTTGTGAGGTAAACCGCTACTTGTTGAAGCGATGGCGAAGCTTTTCAAAAATTGTTTTTAAAAGGAAATTTTGAATAAAAATATTTGACATTGACTTGGACTTCACTAATGTATAAACATGACACATTGTTGGAAGAAGTCTCGTTCACGGTTTATAGCAAATAAGTTACTCTTCGGGCATAAATTATCTTTGTTTTAGGTAGTATATAATCGTTGGTATGTGTACTAGATGTTCGCGCTCGCTGTAAATTTCACAGTACGCGAGCAACCCGTGCGCAATCCCCACCAGCACTAATAAAATTGTTAATTGCAATTTTAAGCGCTCATTTACCACGTACTCCGCGGCGAAGGAAAAAATCGTGAGGAAATCTGCATGTCTAAGAAATAAAAAAGACATGTGATTCCGGCAATACGCATTTGGGCAGCGCGTCTGACACTTCCTTGCCCTAAAACACTCTCAGAAATGAGAAAGCCTGTGCCTGGCAGTGGGACGTATGTATATAGGTTGTAACTTTATATGTATTAGAGATTGTGTAACTCATGAACGACTAGATCGATTGAGGTTTATTCACACAGAATATTTGTTTGTCGAAACGCATGGTCTTAAAAAACATCCCTGGTAAAAAAGCACTATGGCGCAGTGCGGACAGTTGAAAATTTAACAATGACAGGAAATGGGCAGCAGCATCTTCCTGATAACAACTGAAAATTATAAAAACTACGGTTGCCCACCCGCCATGGACTTTTAGAGGCTGTAATGGATGTATGTATGATTTTATTATTGCGGGACGTAGAAAAGTAACAGTTCGTACGGATAAAGAATGGGATTAGAAATGGCGGCTCATCGAGCCTGTACCGTCAACATGCACTGTACCAATAGCGAAAACCCGCTAATGACGGTATATCGTTATAACGTTATATTATTTGGACATACAGACAGACAAACGAATATTTTAAAAATGGTTACTCATGTCTAATGGTATGTAACAAACAAAATCAACAATAATTATGAATACAACTCTCAGAACGCGTCTAGCTCACAATTTACCGAAACCGGAATGAATTTTCTTTGTAGTTTTGTAGCATTTTGTTATCATTAATTACAATAACAAGTTGGCCTTAAATTACAGGATAGGACGTACGAAAAATGCATATCGTAACGTATTTTTTTTTGTACTCTTTACCGGCCTGTATGAGTACAGATACCGACAGTGTGCGAACGAGAGGTAAATAAAGATGACGTCATTTTAATCCCATTCATTAACCACAAGGGTAGTACAATGTCTTGGTTTTATAATTTTTTTAATAATGTTCCAATATCATTTATTTTTAAAATAGTGTAAGTATTCCCACGGTACATATTGAAGCATATAAAAAAATACCGTGTTAACGTATATAAATTCACCAAGCATACTAAGGGAGCTAATAAGAAAGTATCTATAATAAATAAATATTAACTTATAGAATTCTTTATTACTATAATATTATGAAAAAAATTAAAAAAAAAATTCTGGAAAAAAAATGAGAATGCAGACTGCGAAAAAGTTCAATTAAATTAAGATTTCTTACCAAATGACACTTACTTATTGAGACTCAAAATAATTGTCGAACAAAACTAGAACATTTCGTTCATTATTTGCTATTAAATTGAACAAACAACAACGTGATAAATCGTTATCTAAAAATAGTTATATCGAAAGAAGAAAGTAAGTTAGAATAGAGTAATTTGTTCTCGAACAACGAACGGTAATTTAAGTCGATAGGAGCGATCCCTTCAAAGCGGGCGAGTTTTCCATAGTTGGCCGTGTGAGATAGTGGAGGTGAGGCACGTTCCAGGTTGAAATATACACCCGATATGGACGACGGGCTGTTCATCCATCATGATTAAACATCTCGCCAGGCTAACGGTAGCCTAACAGAGCTCGTTCCTCAGCTGCCCGCGAATGCTATTGTGAATGTAATCGCTATTATTGAGACAAACGTATGGGCGACTGATGGTTGTACTACTGGCATTAAAACTACGACAAGTGGAAAGTTCGATGATCTTATTACGACGGATCCCAAATACTTTTGACTACTTCTACCAAATATTTTTTTCAGATTTAGGATTGGTTGGTTGGTTGTTTAAGCTTATGTATAAGCCCTAACAGGGTTTCATGATGTGTTCATTCTTATATATTTTTACACATAAATACATTAAAGGATTAGTTAGTAATATATATAGTTTAATTAGTTAAATAAATACTAATAATTTAAAATTAACAAATATAGTCTTGTTAAAAAATCAGATAATGAGCACCTCTTCATTTCATCATCAAAATATAAGGATTCCGTGTAATAATTATTGTAATAATCAGTCAATTATTATTACGTTAGTTAGTGTCGTATCGTAAGTGTATAATTAATATAAGTTTATAACGTAATATATATTTTTTCATCGTTAGCATCATCATTTTTATTATTTATATATACCTATGATAACTAACAATGTATTACTATTTAATATGTTACAATATTACTATTCTAGGAATAAAACCTAAATGTTGTCTTAATTATAGCATACCACGGCGTGCATCGTGAACAAGCTAATTTTACCAATTTATAAACAATTTATAATCAAATAAGACTATAAAACAATATAATTATAATAAAATTACATAATTTATTATACAATTACACAAAAAAAATTAGAAAATTCAAAAGTGCATACCCCAAACGCTGACCCCAAATATTTTAAATGGATTACAGAAGTGATTATGGAAAGGAACCAGCTCTAATGATTCAAGAGATAGTGAAAAACAAAATTACGTCGTTTTGTAAGTAGTTCTCGAGATGTCTTGTACACAGATAATTTATGAACCACAGACTAAAGGACATCCACAATATAATTTTTTATCGGACTTTTTTTATAATAATACGTGTTGTTGATTTAAAAAAGCAGCAGGCTTATTCATTAGTGTTTTCTCTTTCTAATTACGTGCTTTCCATGACATATTAGTGACTTAAAGTGAGTGAAACGGGTAAATAATTCGACAGTACAGCCCAACCTCTCCGCTTCGCATTCAAGGTTTGCAATAATAAAATTATAACTTTTTAAATAAAAAAGTAAGTATTGACTTCTTAAGATAAAAATTAATAAATTTTAAAATTAAACAAATCGTAATAACTACACTAGTTACTTAACACAGACCCTCAAGGAAAACACCACAAAACACAGTCCTGAGCCACCTGCATACATCGACTTCCTGCATATCTTACCTGGTCAACACTCCATCTAGTGGGTGCCGCCCTTCACTTCGCTTACCGGTAGAATACAGCTATTTGACAACCTTTCGTCTAAGACTATTATACAGACCATAAAATAAACATTTACAAAGAATATAATAAAAATAAAATAGACATCAAAATGAGTCAACAGTGAGCACCAGATCACTGATTCAATCAATCAATGAAAATTTTGATTTGACTGCAATTACTTAAATTTGATGGTGACCAATTAGTATCTTTGGATAATATACACTACATACATAATATAACCATACAATGTTTTAATATGCGCACAGTTTTACCCGCGAGATAATTAAAAAGAAATTCCAACGTTTCCCGCCACCGCACCGCCACCAAAATCAAGAGTATGTTAGTTAGAGCATCGTACTCAAAAATATTTGATATATATTTCCAGAGTAGAAATTTAAAGCAATAAGTACATACATTAACTTCTTCATATATCTTCTTCTCGCTGTAAGCAACGTATAACATTCCTTTTGTCCGCCCGAAGGCAAATATTTCATCTTCCCGATTTTCGACTTCATTCGATCTGTAGACGTTTTTGCACGCAATATCGCTTAATTTAGTACATTTGCACCAAAATTACTGTTTCAGTGAACTGCCGTCTTCGACGCGATATCCATGTTTCCCTATAATTAAAAAGAAAGAATATTGTGAGGATATTTACAGGACAGTGGTTACTACTGAAATACCAACCAACAAATAATAGAAAAGCATCAGGCGATTATGTGCAAAGTAAATTTAGTCATAGTATGAATAATAATTGTTATGAACAAGCATTAATAAGGAAGGAAATTAATTGTTAAGCATATTTAGTTGTACTGAAAAATTAAATCGAATGCGTGCTAATTGTACAATAAGTAAATAAGGTTATCTAAAATGCAGAACCAAAGTTTAATTAAATACATTTTAATTAACATAACGTCCCAAGTAAATAAATAACATGATGATATTCGAATATGCACATAGGTATGTATGTTTCTCGACTTATATAATATATACTGATATATAATATGTAAGACATGAATACGACGCTTTAATTGATATTTTACTTATGTACATCTTATGAAGGTAAAAGGTTTTTATATTATAGTAATGTTAAATTAAAAATAATCTTTTAAAAAAAAGTTAAAAGCGACATAAAACTGAATACAATGATTTTCACACAATAACTTCTGAAGTTGGTCCCAAGACTTATCAAGTAACTATAGCATCAACTTAAGAAGTTTTATGAGGAATTATTTTATCTTTTAACAAATAAATGGAATACTGGTTTCTAAACTAGTTGTAAAAATTGTATCTTGGAAACCAGTGTCTTACTATTTTAGTGGTACAACTACAATAGATAAATACTTAAAAATAAATAAAATTAAGTAAAAGCAACTAACTAATATGCAGTAAACGATAATTAAAAAATGAGAAAAAGTGTTGTGTGAATAGTAATCGTATACGTGCGTGCATGTGTTTGTGAGCTAAAAAATTGAGTGATTTGAATTTGAGTTCGAGGCGGAAAATAAGAAATATTATCGAATTATCATAAACCCGAAAACTGTCCAGTGTTGAACATGAGTCTCTCCTTACGGAATAATATTTGAAGTACATTCTACAATTATTTGTTTCTGATAAATTCGCTACGATAAAAATTCTTCGTATAATTACAAAACCTATTATTACAATAATTAACAATCATTACGAAGCAGTTTACGCATTGTCTTCATTGTATAGTTAACGGTAATTTATAGTTTTACTTAAGCTCTCTATTCGTTAGGTAGGAAAGAAGCATGTCATTGTTTCCAATTCAACACAATTACATAACACAAAAACTTTACCAAACATGCATTATATTGTAATGAGTATTCGTCAGGTCTTAAATTACATAACATGTGCATAAACGTTATATAGCACTGCTATGTGTAACAAATATGTTTGTATTCTGATATCATAATTTGTAATATGCTATTCATAGGAAAAATTAAGTCGAGATTCGATGTGGTAGATGTAAGGTATGTCGTTCGTAAGATTGTGGCTTACTAAAAAAAGGTTTCATTTATTTGCATTTTTTTATTGGATAGGGTGACAAACGAGCACACAGTCCACCTGATGGTAAGTGGTTGCTGTGGCCCATAGACATCTACATTTATCCTCGTTTGCGAATCAAAATGCAGATGCGTTGTCACCCGTGAGGAATAAGATGGAATGCCTCTTTTCCAGTAAAAAGGGTCTTTGGTTCTCTACACTCACCATACGAAACACAACAGTGTTAAGCTGCTATTTTACGCTGGTATTCTGTGAGAGCGTGGTCCTTCCCCGGTCGAGCCGACCCATTCGTGCTACAACTATACTACTAATAATATAGCTGCAGCATGGCTCTACCACGTAAAAAAATTGCATTAAATTCCAATGGACCCTCATTATAATATTTTAATTTTGCGGTCTCGTAACCTAATTCTTAGAGAGGGTACATAATTATTGGCAGCTGATCCACTTTCCAATCTCCAGAGGCAAATTCTTACTTTTCTGAATGCGTTGTCCTAATAATGCACAAAATTTTTCTGAACTGTTTGTCTTTCGCTGATATTTAAACCGAGAATGGACAATCTTTTTATCGAGGTTATCAACAGTCCACAGACTACACACACAACATAAACATAGGCCTTCCCAAAGATTGCCTCATAAGAGGGATAATTGACCACGCTTGCCATGCGGGTTGGCAAATGCATTTTTTTATTATTATTAATTTGTTATCAGGACGCTGCTGCCCATCTTCTGTTGCAGTTGTTCGGCACACGGTGCGATATAGGGTAATAGATTATCTTTCGGCCCCTCTACACGGATTTTACTTATCATAATAAAATATTTAATTAAAAGAAAAAAGTCTCTGAGATCAAGGACGGGCGCGTATCAGATAAAACAACCCATTAAGCTGTAAATCATAAGCACCGTAACCATAAACAAAAGATAATTGGATCGGCGGGAGAAAGTCCGACATGGACTCTATCGATACTAATGGCCACGGGAGAATAAAACGAAATGCTTAAGTTTTCCAATTAGGGCCCTCGACAGGTTAGCAAATAGTTATCTACTCCGTAAACGGACGTTTTAGATGTCCAGATCAATCAATTTTTTTTTATAGTTTTGTAACGTACTTCCTGTTTTGAACTACCAAAAAAAAAATGCTCGTTTTGTTTGTTCTTTATTTTAGTTTTAATGAATAAATATAATTCGTAAAAGAGTACACCGTTACAGCTTATCAATATTTCTTTATACTTTTATGGTTTTCATAATTAAAAATATGTTGATTTTAAAACGCATAAAGGAAGCGCAGCAGACTCTTCACCGCTTTAAACCGTCTCAGAAATGAGAGGGGCCTGTGCCCAGCAATGGAAAATATTATGTAGGCTGTTACTTTAATAATCTCTGATTCTTAATTGAGTATTAATGTATGTGTCTATAGGCTACAATATCCACTTGCCATCAGGTGGATTCCGTATGCCGATTTTCCTTTACCTCTGTGTACGATGTAAAAATTGCAGTTCGCAATTTTGCAATATAAAAAAGAAATAAACAACAAAAGCTAAGCTTTTAGTATCTATATCTTTAGCAATGTATTAAGCAAACAATTTAATACAGCATAGAACCGACTACTATTTTAGAATACACTACATATTTAAGAATACACCCACATAAGTCATGTGCACCTATCAAATAGAGACCGCGGAATGATTAATCGCGTATCAAATTCTCTATTTGGGTGGCGTGTAAAACAAAACTGTTGCGTAGACTCACTTGATGTTGATATATAAGGAGCGCTCGGCAATTACCACGAGGTCAAAATATGTATTGCTCTGGTACAATTACATAAAATTACGCTATACATTACAAAAATGGTTTCGGTATATCAACAAAGGGAGTATGTTTCAATCGCAATTAAAATTTAATATGACATGGCCTATTGGCGAAATAAATTCAAATTTTACCAAATTATTTCCTGAATACCTGGCAAGACATTGAAAAAGGCGATGGATATAGGTTGTTTTATAGGATTAGGATGACAAATGAGGAGTACCCTTAACCGACGAGCGTGTATGCGTAGATATATGGATGTAAAGGAGGCGAGAGAGGTGTGTCAGGATCGTGGCAAATGGAAGTCAGTAGTCTCTGGGTGACAGGCGTGAGTGTTTGTGTGTGTGTATGTGTGTGTGTGTGTGTGTGTTATTTTGATGGCCTTTCCTCGGTACAAATATTCTTAATATATGATTTAATTCTGTTAAAATTACAGCTTTAAAAGGAAGTCATCACATATCATGACATGACATCCGCAAGCTTAATATAAACGCATCTGTCAAGTTAAAACCAGCAATTGCATCGTGGGCGAACCATTTTGTAATTACGTAGTGATATATCAATTTGGTTTGGTGACTAAGCAACTACAGGGTCTCATGTATCTAGATTATTGTCGATTGTACTAAGGTTGTCCACGTTTCTAATAATATTTACACAGAATTATTTGATCCAGTTGTCACGTAGTGGCCAAAATTCAACCGTAATAAAAAAAATTTAAGTTTGTGTATTAAGCAATATGTATTTCACAATCAACTGCACATTTGAGGCATTCCATCTTAGTCATTACGGGTGACAACGCATCTGCATCTTGAGTTTTTATTGATGATAGATGTAGATGTCTATGGGCCGCAGCAACCACTTACCATCAGGTGGACTGTGTGCTCGTTTGTCACCCTTATCCTATAAAAAAAACATCAAAACACAAATATGTCATATTATATTACAAGGCCTATTTATTGCCTTTACAGCCTCTCCACAGACTATTCAATAGGGAACATTTGAAATGACACAAAATTAAGTACTTAAATAGTAATTATTTGTTGGCAATGTTTAGAAATTCTTTGGCGACAATCTCTACTCTGTGCGCCTGTTTGATCACAGACCATTATGAGTTTGACATGGGCAGTATGAATGTGAACAATTTATGTTCAAATATTTCAAACTCATATTGTATAATCAATTTTAGCTTTCTGTACTTTTATCTTCTCCATATAACCTTTAGCTATGCCAAACCTCACACTCCACTGTGCGGGCAATATGCTAAAAAAGGTTTAGTGAACAGAACAGACTAATTATTATTATCAGTGTTATGTATGAGGAGGCGGATTTCAGATTACGGAATTGTACGTTATTTTAAAGCATGGTTCTCCCCACGACACTTATGAAAAAATAAATTCTTTAAGTTGTAAACTTCTATTAAACATAGCTAATTTGGATAGTATTTAACTAAAAAATAGAAAAATATCAGTGTTAAAGTATTTCAAACTACATATTTTAAAGCAATAATTCTTATATCAATGATTGTATGAAACTAAGAAAGCTTTTTGTTGTTTTTTTTTTTCAAGATAGAAGCCACAATTTTTGTTATGCCATTGAAGAACGGCGTGCTCAAACAATTTTAATAACTATTTAAAAATAAATGTCACGACCTGTAGTACTTAGCTTGACCACTAAGTACTATATGTATGTTATCTTAGGAATATCTCTATCACGTTTTATTCGATTACAAAGAATGAGGAGAGATCAATGTCGCAACTGAATTCTCAATCATGAGCTTGCTCCACAG